CCCAGTCGCCGATTCCCTCGCAGTTATCTACCTTCTAGTGAGTCCAGGGTGTTTTCGTTTGGGGTAAAACTTGTAGTAAGTGAGTCTATAGTCCGTTTTCGGTCCTCAGTTCCTATGCCGGCTTGGATGCGGTGATCTCGGCGTCTTTACTCTGCCGCCATCTTCCGGAAGTCCTCAGTCTGTTGCTTGCTAGTTTTGTAGTGATGAGCTTTTAACCTGCTGTGCCACCAAGGAGGGCCCAGCAGTTAATTAATTTTTCAAAGGAAAAATTATCCTAAGTTGCCTTAAAAATGCAAATTTTCATATCTGGTTATTAATATATATTTTGTTCAATAATAAAAATATCCCTTACCCGATTAAACAGAAATTCCTGGGGACGTTTCCAAGAATAAACCTTCAGTGATGGTGGTAATTCAATTTTTCCTTCAGGATCTTCAAAAACATGCTATACAAAAAAGTACATATATAAATCTATCTATCTATACACACACACACACACACACACATATAGTTTTGTAGAAATAAAAATAACTCAATCCTAGTTAAAATTAATCAATAAATAGAGCATTGGTAGAGCAATTTGTGTTTGTTGCCAGAGCTAGTTCATGGAGTACTCAGGGAACACTGACATTAAAATTATATTTAATTAATTAAATTTTGATTTTTTGAGCTGTTTTGATTGCAGAGGAAGCAATATGCATGAGCTACTTTGGTATGTGAATTAGGTATGATAGGAAAGCAATTTGCATGGACCCAAGGTGACCAGATTTTTGACTGAAATGATTTTTATCTGTGTAGGAAGATGGGAAAATCCTTAATTTTTAATGATTTGAATCATAACAGGGATTGTGTGTAAGTAAAATTTATATCTTTAATGTGACTGTTCCTTATTGTTTCCACTGAACTTGTTATTTTGAGATAGTTACTGTCATTGTATGAAATAATGCTGAGTTTCTATATACTGTTTGGCCACCTTCCTTAACAGCTTCCAAACACCCCATCAACACAAGTACCCCCAGTGTCACTACTTCATTCACTCATTGAAAGAATCCGAGTTTCCAGCTTGGCATTATTACTAATATAATTGTTAAAATATTTGTGTATGTTTTATTGATATTTTGTGGGATCATAAATTTGCATCTCTCTGGGATAAAGTCCCAAAGATGAAATATATTCATTAATTTTTGAACCCATAGTATGAGTTAATTAATGAGCTCTGGAGAAAATAATATCGAAATCTCTGAAATGATAATAGTCTAGTTAAGTTAGACAGAATTCAGATGGCTACTATGCAAACATCCTCACTACTCAGAAGGCAGAAGGGAGAAAAGATCCTTAAAAGAAAAAAAAAAGATAAAAAAAAACATAAAAATTGCCAGGAATGCAAATAAAATGCTTGAAGAATATAAACTATCTGTATGAGGCTGTGGGGTTCAAGGACTAAGTTTAACTTGAGTGAAAAGGTTGTGAACATCTTGTTACAATGATAGATAAGAGCATATTTGTAAGCTCAGGTCTATAAGTGCATTATACCTTATTTTGATCATATACTTCCATTCCTCCCTGCTTTGTGGTATCTTCAGATTTTGGAGTGACTCATCTCTAGATCTTTCTCAGAGTTCAACTGCTCAGTTGAGGATTAGCACAATCTATCTTCCTGAAGGAAAGTCACGCACAGTACCCTAAGTTTTGAATTACTTATAAAAAATGTAGAACGTGACCCTTTCCATTTGAATTCAGAGGCTCTTTGTATGTAAAAGTTCCATAATCCTCAATATGAGCGTGCATTATCTCACACATTTTAATTTGAAATTGTTCAAATACTAAGAGTCAGCTGTTACTCTTATTTATTGAATATCTCTTGTATACAAATTACTGATATGAATCACAGTTTGTGATTCTGAATTTCATGAACAAAAATGCAAATGTTAATAAGTACATTGCAGACAGTTCCATGCAAACAAAGACAGCAGAGTTCAACTTCGTCTTTCCAACAATTTTGCTTGTGTTTTGAAAATTCTATTATTTTCTATAAATACTTCCATTAAATGAATTGCCATACCAAATAGGTCAAATTTAAAATGCACCTGAGACCCACAGAGTCTACAAATAACTCTTTAGAAACAGAGCAAACATTTTTAAATAGGCCAAATAATATAGCTGAAAAATGTGAAATGTGCGAATCCCATTGTCAGCCCTAATTCTGGGGACATATATATACAAATGGCCACAGGGAAACTGCGTTAAAACTCAGTTACTAACAGTAACTGAGATCTTTACCCACATATCTCAGGGAGGAGGATACCAACAGGGATTCAAATCTTATCTTACAGCAACACCTCTTTTTAGAAATCATCTGTCCTATTAACCTCAGATAACCGATCATAGATATGTTGGGTTCTTTCATTTTCAAAATCACCATCTGTAAATATCTGGTAGGCAAGTGCATCCAAAATCATCATACTAACTTGTCCTATCAATTTCCCCTTTATTCAATCATGACTCCTTTCTGTGTGATTCACTTCGGTGAAAGCTCAGGACTAAGGCTTGGAAAGACAAGGTAGGATAAGTGGATATAGACACAAATTCATTTTGGAATAGAGCGTGGGGAAGAATGGGAACGTTCACATATAACAAATATTATTCCATTACAATACCACAAACCAACATGAAATCTAGTCACTTTCAAATTTACTTACAAATACGGGGCTTTTTCCACTTTTGTCTTTTTCTTTTCCACTTTTGCCTGCATCCCACTTTTCTGCATTTATGTCTGCCTCATTCCACTCTGGCCAGATTGGGAATTTCCCCTTCTTCTGTTCAACAGAACTAGATTGTACATTACTGCCAAAAGGGTAAAGACTAAAGACAGAGGAAGTGTTGGGTTAATTATATTTAAATCTCTGAAATAAAACATTGGGTTGACTGGTGACATCAATTCAGTAGTCATGTTAGATACAGCTTTCGATACAGTCATTCCAGGATGTGAAAATAAAATTGTTCATTATCAGAATCAGGATTTTTTATTCAGGCAGACATCAGAAAAAAACAAGATTTCTCTTCAACTCTTTCCATGTATTCTTTTTCACTTTTGAAAAAGAAACTCTTGGAGAGCCATACCTCTATCTAGTGTGAGACCACTCTCTTTCCATATCTGGACTTAAGACTTTATTCTTTATATGTTAAAATAAAAGATTTCTCATTTTATAAAACTTAAAAGCCTTCTCTAGAGATGCAGCTTAAGGCCTAACAATCTGATCTTCATTTACTATCTCATTTTAAAAATCCTGAAGATTTTTACTTCTCTACATAGATATAGGTACTTTTAAAATCTTAATCTACTATCTTGCTAGAAAAGGAAGTCTGAGAATTACAATGGTGTTCATAGGTAACATGTAATAAAACAAAAGAGAAATGGAAGATTAGAATAGTTTTTAAGGGAAAAGAGACAATTCCCACAATAGTAATAGACAAATCAAGACATAAATTAATACATGATAGTATCTCTGGTTTATGGGTATTGGTATGCCTATAATGGTAAAAAGAAATTGGTGATTTTGCACCACTCAAAAGCATGGAAACAATCCTCATTCTAGAAACTCAAAATCCTTTTTCCCCTATTTTTTTTTTTAAAGATTTATCTATTCTATTCATATAAGAACTAAGGTACAGGCCAGAGGTACCAGGGAGTGTGTGTGTGAGAGGATTCATCAGAAACAGAGCAGGAAGATCTACTAAAATACACTGTTGAGGGGAGCAGCAGGTGGGCCAGAAGAGGTTTGCTGTTACTTAACCCCTTGAGCCACCACGGAGGTCTGAAACTCAAAATCTTAAAAATTTTGTAAAAGGAAAATTTAGTTTCATAAAATAGGAACCCTACTGAGATCATGTTTTGCTTTCCTCTTCATTCTGTCAAGTGCAAGGAAATGTTCAGCTCCTTCCTCAACACTGTGAAGTTTTATCACTAACTGATCTATGTTCCTATCATGTCTGCTGAGTGCCCACTTCTGGGTGGCAGATGGCTGACTTTTCCTTGTGTTCTCACAGGGTGGAGACAACTGTCTGTCACTCTGGCCGCCTCTTATAAAAGGGCAAAACTCCCACTCACTGGAGCTCTATGCTCATGACCTCACCTCAAAGCCCTAATTCTCAGTACCACCATAGTGGGACTAGAATTGCATAATGTAAAATGGCGTAAGGTGCGTCACAGTGAGTCTATTGTAAAGATAGTCCAAGAAATGCAACCAAAGACTTCCAAAGCAAGGGAGAATGGAAGGAATGGGTCTGACACTAGGAACAAGTCACTGTAAACTCTGGCTTGGCAGAAGGGAACTTAGAGTGGAGTTCTTTTAATTAAGCTCAAATCAAACAATATATCAGGAAACTAAAGACTTTTAGAAAAACACCACTTCAGAATGACAAAGGAATCTCCCTCAGCCAAATGTTCACTTAGTTTTAACTAACATGCATTGAACACCTGCTCTGTGAGCCAGAGGATGGGGTTATAGGCACAGAATACAGATCTCTGCACTTGAGTTTATTTTAGCATGCAACAGAAAATGTCAAAACATAATTCGGTATCTGCATAGAAAGAACTATTTGCACATGGTAAGGGGGATGGGTGGATTTTGCCCAAAGTGAAACAATTAGGAGACATCTGAGCTGTCTTGAAGGATAACTATCAATAGGTATTTTCCAGTTTGAAAAAGGAGAAAGGTCATCGCCAAGAAGAGAGGACCATATAGATGACAGACCGGGCAAGAATTAGCAGATAGAGCACTTAACTCTTCAGTGTGTTGGGGCAGGTGTGAGAGGTAGTCAGGTGGGAGAAAACACAGGGACACAGGTAGCACCGCACTGAGTGCCTCTTTGGGGAATTGACCTTTGGTTCCCAGTGTTGATTTTGCCGATTAGATAGAGATAGTTGCTTATAAACCACTAGTTTAAAATCGAGCTTGAAAAACACTGAAGTAGTATGACTTAAAAAGAGCACAGAGGGCCCTCCCTGGTGGTATAGTGGGTTAAAGCACAGCACTAAGAAGTTAAAGCCACTTCAGCATGAGTTCGATCCCCGCCTTGGAGGCGACCACATGGCACAGCAGACCTCTCCTGATCTTCCCTTTGCTCCCCTCAGCAGTGTACTTGGTCAATCTGCCTGTTCTGCTCCCCACTCTGTCTCTGGTGAATCATCTCACTGCCTCTGCACCTCTGGCCTGCACCCCAGTTCTGTATGCATAAATAATAAATGAATCTTTAAATAAAAAGAGTGTAGAGGCAATAAATTATGAATGACTGTTTTAAGATAATTTCCCTCAGATCTGGAAGTTTTATTCTTTTCATTTCTGTGGAGCTGCAAGTAATGTCCCCACTTTATTTTCTGATTTCAGTAATTTGCATCTTCTCTCTCTCTCTTGTTCCATTTAGCTAAACTTTTGTCAATTTGCTGATCTTTACAGAGAGCCAAATTTCAGGTCTATTAATTTTCCCTATTGTTTTTCTACTTTATTGTTAATTTCTGTTCTAATCTTTGTTGTTTCTTTCCATCTGTTAGTATTGATTTATGCACTGGAAAGAATAGGACTAGCCCAGAGCCTGTGTGAGTCTTTCCATCATTATGGACATTTCTCTGGTGTTGGGGACTTTCTCATGCATGAGACTTTTTAAGAAGATGACTTAAATGCCTACAGTAACAACTAAAACATCTAAGAACAAAATATACAGAGATATTAATGGTAGGTTAGATACAGAAAATTAATGGATTTGAAGAGATAACAATAGCTTGACTCAAAGTAAAATATTAAAAAAAGAAAACAAATGCAGCATCAGAGAACATTGAGAGAACTTCCAACAGTTGTCTAAATTTAAGTGCTATTAGGGTCACCAAAAGGAGGGTTGGAGACAGGAAAGCACAGTCAAAGAAATAATGATTACATTCTAAAAAACTTTAGTGTATTTACAAATTCAGATTCAAGAATTTCAAAAAACATGTTTAAAATCATGCCAACTTACAACATAAGTAAATGAGTCAAAAGTAGTTGTAATAAGAAAATATTAAGTGATTTTGGGTTGCTGGGGGAGGGATGGTGATACAAATTATATGCAGAAGAACAAATAAGAGGAAATGGAAGCACTCATTTAAAGTAATGTCAGTAAATTTACAACCTCTCTAAAGAACTAAAACCAAACAAAACTCTGTCAAGCTAGCAGGCTAGGTGAAAATATCTTTTAAGAAATGAGAGTGATATACACACTCTTATTCCAACATTAAACGCTGAAAATATTCATTAGCATAAAAAATAAAATCTTCACCACAATAAAAAATAAATATGTTTTAGGCAGAAGTAAAAACATTATGAGGTGGAAAGATGATCAATACAAAAAACAATGCAAATAAGTAGTAGTAATGAAATGGCTCAACAAGCTACTATTTTAAAATGTTTATAATGTATATGGGGCCCTCCCTGGTGGCACAGCGGGTTAAAGCACTGCACTAAGAAGCTAAAGCCGCTTCCGCATGAGTTTGATCCCCACCTGCCCCGGAGGTGACCACATGGCGTGGCAGGCCTCTCCTGACCCGCCCCCTGCTCCCCTCAGCAGTGTACTTCGTCGATCTGCCTGTTCTGCTCCCCACTCTGTCTCTGCTGAATCCTCTCATCCTCCACATCTCTGGCCTGTACCCCAGTTCTATATGAATAAATAAATAAATCTTAAAAAAATGCATTAAAAATGTTTATAAGTAACTGTTTACAAAGATAAAAGATGTAGTAAAGGGTTAGTAACATATAAAAGTCAATGTATGAAAGCAGTAACTTCTTTTAAAACATATTGCTTTATTTTTTAATTTTTGCATAAAAGAACTGAGATTTTGGCCAGAGGTACAGGGATGAGAGTATTCACCATAGACAATGGAGAGAAGAGCACGTGATTTACTGAAATGCACTGCTAAGGAGCGCAATAGCTAAGACAGAAGAGGTCTGCTGTGCCTTGTGCGTTAACTCCCTGGCCAGGGAAGGAGCTCACCCCTTGTGATGAAAAGGTGCTGGCTGAGGCTTAACCCCTAGGCCATCAGGGAGGCCCCCTAAAAGCAGTAACTTAAAGATGGGGACGAATATGTACCCTACTGTAAGAGACCAAAACAAGATATAACAAAAAGCCAATATAAGGGATAAATAGAAGTTTAAAAAAAAAAAACAGTTAATACAAAATATGACAAAAGAAAAAAAAAAGAATACAGAAAATAAATAAATAAATAAACCTGTGGATTTTAAAAGACAAGCTAAGGAAATTACAAACGTCATTTTGTCACAGCAATATCTGTTCTTAAACTCATAATACATAGTTCAATAAAATCTACTTTCTATGATATATTTCATTACTTAGTCATATACAGTAAAACACATTTTGTCTGCATCTTCCATGTCTCCTGCACATTTGTGATAAATTAAATACCGTGCATATTTTAGAATGGAACAAGTCAAATTGCCTTTATACATAATAAAAACAACATGCAAGTATACTAAAAATATATTTGATAATGCAATTAATTACTAATTTAAACTAATGTGATTTTAAAACTTAAAACCACTTGTGAATTATATACTTAGGAAAGTTACTCTTTTCAATTCTTAAGTAACATGATTACATAATAAGCAATAATATACATGAGTTGAAAACCATCAGACAAAACAGAAAATTAGCTAGTTAACTCAATAGAAACTTTTAAGTAAACAAAACCAAAAAACAAAAGAGCAGAATCTGATATATACACACTCAGAGAGACTCCTGTAGATGCCCTAATTAGATTATTTTCACTGTAGGGATGTTAAAACTAGTAAAATGAGATTCTGGAATTTGGCGTTGTTTTCTTCAGGCATGCTGTTCATCTAAGGTCACGATTTTATTCATAGTGGGAGGCATTTTATTTATGCAGTGTGTAATCAGCATGCCTTCTTGAGCAGTGGTAGTTAGTACTCTGAAGGAATCATATATGAATAGAACTACACAATTGACTTAATTTGGGCTAGGGACATACTGAGTCAGGCCCTTCAGCTATATCACATATGTAAGAAAATAAAATGCAATCTCAAAAAAATGTAAGAATTAAAAGGAAGTTAAACCTCGGTGGTTGTGTTAAATTCTTTTTCTCCTATTTTGATGAAAATGATTTAATTGGGCATTTAAGTTTTAAAGTTCAACATTTATTTTTTCAAGTCCTTGTGTTTAGGTGATTACAAAGGTCAGTTTCTATGCTAAAATTAATGATTTTTCATTAAATAGTCCTGCATTGAAAGAAGAGAAAGTAATTATAAAAATAGAAAGATTGCTTGTTCAGTGTCACAAAAAATATTGGTGCTAGGGTGAAATCTAGAAGAGAGATTCCATTTTAACACTGAACAAAAGTATAGATAAAATAGAAATAGTTTAATGAAAAAAAGTGACAGCCAGTTAATTAGCATAATGTTTCTCAGTCTTATTTACCATTAATTTGGTCACATCTAGCAACAGATGATTTTGCTTTCTCAGCGTAACATCTCAGATTTTGAACTTTGCCACAAAGGGTCCGATCAGAAAGAAAGGGAAAACTGGGCTTCAGTAAAATTCGGAAGGCATGAAAACTAAGCTAGGTAATTAACGATGAGCTTCTTTAATAAGCAGATGGCAAATGCTTACATGTGTTAGCCACCATGCTAAGCAAAACCCAAGCAACATGTAATTTTAGGGAGTAAAAGAGATATGCTATTGGTTAACATCCCAGAGAATAGGCTGTCCCAGGCTGTCACTTTTAGGACGGTGAAGACTTTTTCTCTTTTTACATCCAGGACCATGTTTGAGTTGGATGTATCTACTATTGGATGGATAGCCTGCAGGTGTGGCAAAAGTTACCTACCTTAACATTTATTCTAATTGCCCCAGGTAAATTTCAAGGGACGTTACTCTTGTTAAGCTTTGATCCCTAGACCCCAGACTGTTATATTGTCTGTTGTATATGATTTGTCTAGTACCTATGGTTAGCTTTCATCTCACAGGTAATGAATTTCACTCTCCATCACCTAATGATGCAACAAAATCTAATAATTTGACATTTGATATGCAATAATTTCCAACAAAACAAAACTAGACTTGTTATATGAGCATAGGCCATCATATTTTCATCCATATATGGCACTTTTATTAATGTACTATAACTCAGATACTTCTGGAAAAAGAATAAACATGCTAGAAATAACATTATCTCAAAAAGAAGTGGGAAGCCCCAGTAAAGGAAGACTCTAGCATCTTATCAGCTGGGAACTTATCTCTTCCTTGTGACACAGTCATCACAGGACCAGACCACTAACTGTGTTTTATGGCAAGTGATTTGATCAGTTTCTTTAGAGAAGTTAACAATCTCATCTGTTTCAAGATATAAACTATTTTAAGTCAAAGATTTTCTGCAAAGTTATCATACATTGACAAATTGTTCTGATGTATTTAAAAATTATTTTGTGGACCTGTTATAATATCTAATTTAATCACTGTGATCTTGTCACTAATTAAGTAAACATTTTTGAATGTCTGCTAGATATGACCCAGGAATTACTCTAGGTATTAAAGATTCAATTGCATATAAAATAGAAAAAGAAAAATCTCTGCCTTCATAGGAATTAAATTTTACTAGGAAACCATGAGTTAACATATTTGAAAGTGAAAAATACAGTATGTTAAATGAGCAAAAATAATAAGAAAGAAAAATAAAGCAGCAAAAGGAGTATTATGGTTTGGGTAGAAAAGCAGAGGTTGCAAATTTCAAAACAGCTAAAGAAGCTGACATGGAAAACAGCAACAGGAGTCCTTCCAGGTGGTGCAACAGGTAAACGGCAGCACTACCAGGCTAGCCACAGCCACCTCAGCATGAGTTCAATTCCTGGCCAAGGAGGCGACCCAAATGGTGCAACAGACCTCGCCTGTCACCCCTGTTATTCTCCTCAGCAGTGTATTTCAGTTGATGAGTTGATGCACCTGTTCACTCTGTCTCTGGTGAATCCTCTCACCACCCCTGCCCCTCTGGCCTGTACCCCAGTTCTGTAAGCACAAATAAATAAATATTAAAAAAAAAGAGATGAGGCAGCAACCCATATGGAAATAATAAGGAAAGAGCTTTCTAACAGCAGAAACAGCAAATGCAAAGGCCTTGAAGTAGGGTAAGGTCTGGGCTGTTATTCCACGTAGTGGAGAAGAGCTAGAGCGTGAGCCAGGGAAGCAGAGGGTAATAAGAAACCTGAACTTGTAGGGCCTTGTGGGACTTGGCTTTCTAAGATTGGAAACCACCAGAAAATGTTGAAATGGCATGACTTACATAGGCTTGCAGCAAGAGAGTGATCACTGGGAATGTAAAATAGGGTCAGAAATGTACTTTCATAAAACAAATAGATTATTTGGCAGCCTGCTTCTCAGAGAGGACACAGGAATTGGAAGATCACAGACATGGTCATGAGTCTTGCAGTAGATTCCATAGAAGGAAAAGGCTTAAATGCTAGGGGTTAGTGAACAGAAGTCCGATGAGTGTTTCTTCAGGCAAGGAAGGAAAAGCAGGAGCAGGCATACAATATATGAGAATTCACTGGAAAAAAAAAAAAAAATTTCCTGGCCATCCCCTACAGGTATGGAGGGAAAAGTACAAATGGTCCTAAAGGAAGCAGGTTTGACAGCTGGCCCTCTCAAAACTGGAGTAAGTTCTGGAAATCTTAAAAAATCAAATAATAGCCCAAATTCTGTCTAGCATTACTGGGTATTTCTAGAGAGAAAGGAAACAGTAATCGTCGTAGGTGGTACCTACAGACACAGTCAACAGCAACCCAGATCAGAGAGGCATCAGAGAGAGTTCATGCATGCTTTCTTGATTTAAGGATTAGTAACGAGAACTACATAGCTATACCACTGTAACATTTTGAAAACCATTTCGTGCCTGATATCATCTGATTCAAGATCTTTGACTGCTGGAATCACCATACTAAGAACCACCTCCTTCCTGCCTTCTATCCTGCCTTCCTGGGTCAGGCACTGAGGCCTTTGGGCTAGGACTCCTTTGTAAGGAAGTCACACAGACTGTAAAAGCCTGGGTGAGCTGTGAACAGAAGGAAAGGGGGCGGAGATGGGGGCGGAGCGGGGAGGGGGCTGGTTAACGCGGGTGGGAGGAGCCAGGGGATTTGCAGCAGAACAACTGAGGCAGGAAAACCAGGGACTCTGGAACGAATTTGGATCTAGGTAAGACAGAGGCAGCAAGCATGTGGGAAGACCAGGAAGGAGCAAAGATCTCCAGGTCTGGGCTCCGGGGCACCAGGAGAACAGGGGATCCCCTGCCCTGTCTGACTTTGCTACAGGGAAGCAGTCAACCGAGAGGCCAAAGGGTTAGGCCAGGGGTAGTAAGGATAAACAAAACTTCCTTACTCTTTAGTTTTATCCGAGCTATGAGCAGAGTTGATGCGGTGCACCTCTTTCTTTTTGGTTTGTTTGGAAGTCATGGCAAAGACGACCCAGGCGGAGATCTGTTCCCAGCTGCGAACCTGCTCCCGCTCCCGCGACCCCAATCGCGTCTGCTGTTGCCAGGAAACCGCTGCGTCGCGCCTGAGGTGTCAGTGTCCAAGCGCCTCTGGCAAAGGCGCCTAGGCTGGCTTGGGGCCGCGTTGGGAACCGGAGCCCCAAAATGTGATCCACATCGGGGCGCTGTGGGGAAGGGGGTCTGGGGAGGAACCAGGGTGCCCAAGGGCATGGGTTTCACAGTAGGATTCAGGGGCAGCTCTGATAAGCTGGAGTTGTCTGCCGCTCCAGGCAGAGCCTCGCTCTTTGGGATTTTCAGCTTTCTGAAGACGGCTATTCTGCTAGGTCGGTCCTCTCTCTGCCCCTTTCTCCCCTCTGCTCAGTCTCTCCAATAACACGGAAGCATTGAGGATACACTGGTTTTCCGAGGGACCTGACCACAGTGGGTCCAGGAACCCTGCAGGAGAGGCTGAGAGTGACTGCAAGAGTATGAGCAATTCAGCACATCAGATACCTTGGTTGTTCTTGGAGACATGTGGAAAGATACCAGGTGTGCAGGCTTCAAGCACAAATCCTATTAAGACTGGCGCTGAATTCGCAGCTTACCCTTATTTTTCAGTTGTGTTGTGTGGTTGGCCATGTTCCTCTGGAAACTCCCATTACTCTTTACACAAAAGATGGCTAATACCTGAGGATAAATAAAATGTACTGAAAATGTTTAGCACTCCACTTAACACAGCAAATCAGTGTTCCTATCTTGGAGACAAACATCAAACGGCTTCAAGGAACAGGCAGATAAGATGTGAGTGAAACAGAAAATGCTCACACTGGGCAATCTTGAAAATTCGTTAAAATGAAACAAGCAAACATTTTATTCATTAAAGTGAAACCAGCAGAAAAAAAAAAAAAAAAGAAAATGAAACAAGGACTGTGCTGACCAGTGCCTCCTCATTTCAGCCAGACTTGGCCACTCACAGGACTGAAACTTAGGAACCCTGTCATGCTATGGGTTCTCCCACCAGCCTTGAGATTAATGTTCTTTAAATAAGAAGTCCCCACCGTTGTGAGTGATACAGGGCAACAAGGGGCTCTAAAACTGGCTAAGGACAATGTCCGGATAGTTTACAGGTCACCCAGCTCTTCCCCCCACACAATGGCAAAGTCGACTCAGGTTCAGAGAACAACAATAATGGGATTTGTTTAACCAGGGAAGCTAAGAATCACTGAGGCCACAAAAGGCTGTTTACCTCACCAGAAGCAGTGTCCAGTGTCCTAAAGTCCTAAACAGAACGGCTTCCAAGAAGCTTCTTCCTGCTACTGAGGGATGGCATGGCACAGCTGGACAGTAGGCCTGGATTTAGCTCACGAGGACTTCAGAAGACACAACAGGAGATGTTCACCGGAACTGCCCAGATGAGCCAGCACAGCATCAGAGTAGCGACCTTGAAAGTAATAGCTGCAGTGGTCGAATGATGGGACAAACCGCCACACTCGCTCCTTTTTCCTTCCAGGCTGTAACCGCAGCACAGCTGGGAGCAGTTCTAATCTCTGGGTTACCTGCAAAGTCTCTGAACTTTTCTTCTCTGAGGTTGGCTGCTGGAATTGTCTCCATGTCCTTCAGCCTTCTGGAAGATCTGCAAGGTCGGGGCAGGAATGGCGACCCCAGAATCACAGTAGATCTAAAATACTGAAATCCCAGACACGCAGTCCCAAAGGCTGAATCCGGGGAGCGGCCTCTGCAGTCTGGTGGGTTTCTTTTCAGTCTGAGCCACCACCACTGATACTCAGTTTGCATTTCACCTGGGGCTATTATCCTCAGCAGCAACCCCTTCCCCCCCTCAGGAGGTACCCACCAGTAACAGTCTTTGGCTTTTGAACAGGAATGAAGCAACTTCCTGCAAAACTAATTTTCAATTGCCCTGAGTGCCAAGCCCTCTGCACCCAGGGCAACCTCGGCTTGTCAGAATCTTGGTCTTGTTGTTATTGAGAGTCACATAGATGACAGCCAGCAAGCAGCTTCATTGCATTTCTGTATGAAAGAGAAACAACTTCAGGGCTCCGTGGTGGCATAAAGGTCAGTGCTTTCACACTGTCATCACTGTAGCCTGACTTCCATTCCCAGACAGGAGGGAGATGCTGACCCACAAAGAGTGCAGCAGACCTCTCCTGTCTCGCCTGCTTCTCCCTCAGCAGTTATTTCAGTCCATCTGCCTGTTCTGCTCCCCACTGTGTCTCCCATGAATCCTCTCACCCTCTGCACCTCTGGTCTGCTCCCCTCATGCTTTTATGCATAAATAAATCAATCTTAAAAAAAAAAAAAAGAACAGAAGAACAACTTCAAAGTCGGTAGGTTTAATACATGACAGAATTTCCCTACAAAATTCTCCCAAAAACATCCTGAGGACTCCACTTTATTTTAATCTCATGATTGAAATTTTCAAAGAGTTGTCCGAAGTGAAAACAGAGCACCAAACTTTGATGAAATATTACTGACTAGTGAATCTTACCAGAGTTATTAAATGCAGTCAGTCATCAGCATATATAAGGACTGCTAGGTGAAAATAGCACATTTTAAGTAACCGGACTGTGGACAGCTGAGTTGTCTGCAGCTGGGTCTATTCCTGAGCATTGTTCATGGTTGGGAGATGCCAAGACTATTACTGTAAGAGAGGTCTTAGAAACAAAATGATCTACCACCCATCCATATGTTACAGGATCTATATGTTACAGGATCTCCCACCCATCTATATGTTACAGGATCTCCCACCCATCCATATGTTACAGGATCTCCCGCCCATCCATATGTTAACAGGATCTCCCACCCATCCATATGTTACAGGATCTCCCACCCATTCATATGTTACAGGTGGTGAACCCTTAACCAAGAGCAAAGACATAACTTGTAAAAGAAGTTGCATGGCTACTTAAGGGTAATGTTTGAACTAGAAACGTTATGAAAGGGAGGAGCACTGGGTGAAGCCAAACATCACCATTCCACACAGGCTGTCTTTTAATTTATTAAAAATAAGGATAAAAACGGGCCCTCCCTGGTGGCGCAGCGGGTTAAAGCACAGCACTGAGAATCTAAAGCCACTTCCGCTTGAGTTCGATTCCCGCCTGTCCCGGAGGTGACCACATGGCGTGGCAGACCTCTCCTGGCCCGCCCGCTGCTCCCCTCCGCAGTGTACTTCATCAATCTGCCTGTTCTGTTCCCCACTCTGTCTCTGGTGAAGCCTCTCACCACCCCTGAACCTCTGGCCTGTACCCCAGTTCTGTATGCACAATAAATAAATCTTTTAAAAAAAAATAAGGATAAAAACAAGGAAGTCAACATATTGATGATATGAAGATTAAAAAGAAATGCTTCTTAAACCCCAGTTGAGTAGTCTTTCTCCTTGACTATGTTATGTCTGTAAAATGTATAAATGGAAGTTCTCTTTCTGGAACTAAATTCTAGTCAGATCAGGATTCTAAGAGGTAGATTGTTCCCACTATAAATACTAAGGTGGTATCTACATACTCTGGAAATAAAGAGCAATTGCCCAACTTCTCTTTTTTACCCTATATGTGCAGATAGTAATCACAGTCCATGTTCCTTTGAAATGTTAATACTGGTTGTAATTTATTGCATTCTTACTGCTTTCCAGGCTGATGGAGGATGTTAGCTCCTTGGAGCTTGGGTATTAGGGACAGACCTGAATATAAACTAGCTCTTATTGGTTAACTCCTCTGGGTAAACTATTTGAACATTCTAATTCCATTTTCTTCATTTATGAAAAAGGAAACATAGTACCTCAATAGTGCTTGGGACATAATAACCCCTCCAATAACGGTAGCTACAATTATCATTGCTCTAGAGGTAAAGAAACTGACATCAAACAGGGAAAGGAACTTGCTGATGAGGGGCAATTGGCAGAGCAAGGCTAGCCTGTTCCTCCACATTTCTCCAAGTTCGCACTCTGCACTACTCCAGGATAATCATGCAGGCTGTGGTTTGCAGATTCACCCCTGAACATAGCAAATACAAATGTTTGCCCTGTGACTCATCCTAGGAATTTCCAAGTTCTCATGCTGCTGAAGAAACTTTCAAAGGCTGAAAAACATGGCATGACTTTATCAGTGCTAAATGAAGTGGAGTCTCACTCCAAAGAATGCTTAACTCTTTTTGAGGAAGCATTCTTTGGCTCCAGGCTGCAGTAGCCCTGGCTCCACAGGGAAGTGGTTACAAATACTTACTTCCCCATGGCAGCAGAAATAGAGCAGGTTGGGTCTTTTTCAGGGATCTGCTGAAATGGAGAAGTGAACCTTGGTACTTTGCTAACCAAATCTCCACCCACTACTGCAAGTCTCAGTTTGGGGGTGAGTGGGCTCTGGGGCAGTGAGAAGGGAACATTTCTTTTCCTTAAAATCATAGCTCTGAACAGCTTCAGACACTAGATCCTACAGAAGAAACTGTATAGACGGTGCTACTCAGCTCCTCCTTTGTAATAAATTTGCCTAGAATTTAATCAATCAAAAGAGAAAGTATAAATTCTCCATGTTCCCCAACAGTTCTGGTTAACCAGACTCTCAAGTTCCCCAACTGTCACTTTTCCTTAAAAAATTAATAACTTTCTACCTTCTTTATTTTCCATAGGACTTTATTGTTCATTTTTTAAAGTTCTAAGATGTTTGGCCTTAATTTTGCCACTACTGTTCTCAGTGACGGCAAGGTCGCTTTAGCAGGATCTGTTCTGCTCCTCTTCACCAGATAAAAAACTATTACCCCATCCATATCTCGTCATCAGAACTGACATTCTGAACACTTTCTATCTGTTTGACATTCGATCAGGCTCTTTTTCTATATGATTCTCCTCATCCTTAACAACACCTAGGAACTGGTTATTCTTACACTCTCCCTTTTGTAAGTAAGGAAGCAGGCAGAGAGCTTATGTTAGATTAGTAAAAGACCTGACTTAGTTCAAGTCCATATTGCCTGGCACCA